TGTCTGAGATATTTCTACGCTATCCTGTGGTCCATTAGAAAGGCATACTTTCATATCCTGCAACTTTAATATACAAAACAGTCTTTCTTGCCCACTGGAACACACCACCTAATCACTGCGCTCATGTTTATTATCCAGCGAATTAAATTTAAAGTTGTATGTAAAGTAGAACAGCTTGAACGCATGGGAGTATTGATGCCTCTACTATAAGACAGTAGTAGTCTCACGGGTGGGTTGGATTGCAGTTCTCCAGAGTGGAAGAGGGAAGATGACCTGGAAGATGACCTCAATATCTCCAGTCATAAAGAACAGCAACAGTTCTTCTCTGGGAAAAGTGGTAGTGAATACAATGTGTTTTGCAAAGGATTAGGAGGCACGCTTTTACGTGTATCAAACTCCTGAACTCAAATAGGCATAAAAACTCACTGTGAATGCTGACAGGGCTTTTCATGGGCTTCTCAGGACACCCACGACTGAAGTACTTTTTGAGGACAGCGAACTACTACTAAGTTACTACACACAAACTTAGAGCCAAAGCCACAAAAGGATCTAAAATGGGAGACTTTAGGTAATATTTCAGTGTAAAATGATTATTCTAAAAACTTGGCAACACAGATCCTAAAATTTCATTTCTTTTTTCACTAGCCAAAATTTGAAGTATTTTTGATAGGGAAAAAAAATCCATAATGAATAGAAGGAAAAGAAATCCCTTTGTGTTATCTTTTAAGTACAAATCAAATAAAGAGATTAAAAAACTACAAGTTTTTGTAGTAAAATTCTAAAGTTCCACTGCTGTCTTTCCCAAGAACAGTGATTCAGTGAAAGAATTTGATTCAATGTCCTGTGGTGATTCTATTACACTACGTAACATTTAGTCATTTGTCTTTATAATTTTAATTGCTAGCTATATCTTCAAATCAACTTACTCCAAAGAGTGTCAGAACTATGGGCACAATGCACTTATATTTACAGAAACAGAATGCTACGCATGTTCTCCATAATGACCAGGGAAGTTATGTTTTTCCCTTTTTGCCTCATGCTCGTTCTGGAAATGAGCAATGTGGGAGAGATGAGGGAAATCTCTGAAGTGCATAACTCAATTTTCTCTAGCAACAACATCTGAACAGTGTGAATTTGGAGACAAGAGAATATAGGTAAAGAATTGACTTGATAAAGAAATTCCATTATAAGTCAATTTGAAATTAGCATTAAGCAGAGTCACAAAAATACAGTGCAATAACTTGGAAACAGAAGAACATTTGGTACAGACTAGTCTAGGTGTGCATGTAATTATTACTACAGAGACCGTCAGGCATTTTGTATATCGCAAATGTAGGTTCAGAGTCCCTTCTGCTTGCTATTCTGAGATGAAAAGCGTGCAAATACAAACGAGATAATTAGACAAGGAGAGTAATAATTGACCCCTTGTTCTTCTGGAAAACCCACAAAGTTCATGTTTCATGGGCTTCTGCTGTGTTGATGGTCCATAATTAATGGGCTAAATCCTAAATTAACTCAAATTAATGCAGAAGATCACTGAAAAGTGATATTATATTGCAGAAGCATAACTAACACATTGTGAACTGTTTGCTACAGTTTTGACCTCCAGAAGTTTTTCCAAAATATCTTGACAAACAAAAGGTGTAGGAAACTGTATCCATGCTATGGAGGTAAAGCTTCATCATCACCTAATTTTGTGAAAAGGAAAAGAGAGAAATGGAACTTTGGCAGCAGAACCATAATATATTAATGAAAGTAAGGCATGAATCCTTGCAGTAAAGGATCATATTGCCTAATTTTCCCTTAGTCACTAACATTTAATGAGGCATCTATCTGTGCAGCCTTGCTTTAGGGATATGTTGGATTAGCTGATCAGTTCTTTTGGTCTTTTCTTTCTCCATGTGTACATTATGCTGAAAAGTAATGGCAGGAAAAATGAATTACTTCTGATTTTGTTTTAGAGTTATTGTGTGAAGGTGAATAAATAACTTCAGATTAGCTTATAATTGATCTGGCTTTCTCTAAATGCTGAATATTTTAACTGAACATGATTTTGCATAGGTGTTAGAAACTAATTTTAATTTGCATGATGATGATTTGCATTTTTAAGGCTTGCAGAGTTTAACATTTCATAAAATGGCAAAGCAACAGAAATGCTGAGTGACTGTTCTGTAAACAGAAGCATAAGCACTGATTCGTGCTCACAAATTCTGTTTGCTCATAATTCAAGAGCTTCTTTTCAGGATTTGTTATTATTTTTCTAGTCAGCAAACAAGGGAAGGACATATGCTACCTGTGAGACCAAAATTATGCTAAGTTGTTTGTTTTTCCCTTGACTGTCCTACTGCCATGAATGTAACTTTAGAAAATTAAGATCAAGTGCTAACCTAGTACATCATCACTGAATAAATAATGTCCTATTTGAACTTTTTCATCAGAATGTCTACACATATTGCAGTTCAGGAAAAGGAAATAATGTGATCTTAGTGCTATGTATATTTTTCATATCAAGAACAGGCCATTTAAAAATCTGTTGGTTTACCGTGCAAAGATGATTTACCAAATGGAATTGCTTGCTCAGCCTGGTATTTCATACAACATTAAAACTGTGATTATCCACCAGATCTATGTAATGATTTCAATATTTCCATTTTCATTCTAGAAATCCTTTAAAGTGCAGTGTTTTTCATCTTGTCAGCTAAGAGTTACCCATTAGAATTTAAGCAGGTGAGATTATGAAATTACATCATTTTAGCTATACAGTATTTAGACTGTTGCTTCTTTCTTGAGAATTTACAATAACTTTTCTGTTTCAAATAAAATCTTCTGGAATGGACTAAACCATTATTTTCACTTCCCAGGGGTTTACTCTTGTCCAAATAATTTAAATACTGAAGCACAACAGTAGCTGTTGAAATCTGATCAGACAGTAATTATCATCGTTTATCTTTGGATATAAAAACTGCTTACTACATGTCACACGCCCCCTCATGAATCACTCTTTTGGAAGAGAAAAAAAAAAAAAAGAAAAACAGCTTGCCAAGCTGTTATCTTAGAGCTTTATACTTTTATTTATGTTATTACCGATAGGCTGCAAAATGCTCAGATAGCACCATTAAATTCAATTCCTAACAGGCATTAAATTCATCTGATAATGACATTACAATGTCATTGACAATCCTGAAAAGCACCAGAGTTTAAATGATCTTAGTACCTATGGTGCCAAGCATTTCATTAGCAGATGCCTTGCCTGAAAAAAAAAGCAGTGTCCCAAATCAATGTTCCACAGAATGAACAGAAGACAGTGTTACTAAACATGAAATATCATTCCCACGAATAAAACAAGCACTATACATCAATGAGCTGAGAGTCTTTCAAAATGCTGCCTCAACTTTCTGAATGCATGTTACTCCTGCCAATTCTGATGGCACCGTTTCCGAGGGAAATATCCCAGGTATGTTTAAGATGGCCTACTCATATGTGACAGCTTAATAAACTGCTCTGCCAACTATTTCAAGTAATAAAATGGTAGCATGTATTTTGATACAAAGCTGTTCTTACAACGCTAAATGAAATTGTATAATGTTTCCAGTTCTCTAAAGGGGCAAGATAGTACACTGAGCACTTTGCACCTTTTATTATTTTACTAGTCTGATCACTATTACTTCGTATTGTAAGAATATAAAACAAGAATATGCCCAAACATTTGACTTTGCAATATGAGAAAATACATAGAATAACTAAGTAGTTACACAGACTATAAGGATCAGCAAGTATATTCCATATAGGCTCTTGCTCACAGTTCCCCTTCAGATCCTGCACTACTTTTAAAAGTGCCGTTAGAAGAGCTGGACAGTGACTGCAGATACAAGACCACGGTGGTCAGTAGGGGTGGGGAGTGGGAAGATGCATAAGAATCAGCCCTATAGGGAAGGTAGCATATATGAAGGGTATCTTCATCTGTATTTTACAAATTTGCAGTATGAACTGTAGTTTTGGAGTTCCTGGAACATGGCATTCCGGCAAACCATCTAGTGTGCCAGATTCTGAAGCTGACTCAGGTGGCATAAATAAAACAGACAACAAAAGCCCAATTTATGTGGCTCTTGGATTCAATGCCTAAGTAATGGACTGCCATCCCAGCAACTTCTGCAGTCTCATTTCTCACCACCTTACAGTTCATTATATCCCTGAGAAAGCTCAAGTATATCACTTCCTTTCATTTAAAGCTATGTTAAAAGCACATTAGGATGTCCCATGTAATGCAGCACAGTTTTTAAAATGATATATACATATATTTATCAAGTAGGATGTCTTTGCACCTACATTTGAATGTAGGATTAAATTTTGAGGGCACAATCCTTTGTGCAGATTAAAATGTAACACTATATTATTTGTTTTAGTAGTGATGTCTGTTAACAAACATTTACCAACAGACTTAACAGGCGTTCCTTTTCTTGCTACTTACACCTTGTGCCATTCAAGAAGAGGTACAATATGAAAAGTAGGTGCATCTCTGAAGAAATTGATTTTCACTCTGTCCTCAGCTGATTAACACTAAATGGAAGCTATCTTTCTATAAAGCTTTATTGCTTCTTTCGAACAGGGCCTCCTTCAATCCATTTTGCTGCAGATATTGGCCTGCTAGTGGAATGTGTCTTACAAATATGGACAACCTGCAGATAAATATTTCCTTGCAATGCTTACGCAGACATATTTTTGCTAACTGCAGACTTTTTACAGGCTTTGTACTCTTTTAAAGGAGAAATGGTATATGGTATGCACCTCAGCCTTACAGCTAAGACAGATTGGGGAAAAAAAAAAAAAAAGGTTTTAAGTAAGTCCAGATATAATGTAACAGTGTAGAAATATAGAAATATGGGCTGGGGGATTTTTTCTAGCAGCATTTTTCTAAACCTCATCTCTTGTCAAGGCAGAGCATCATTTGTTAAAGCACCTGTATCGTATTTTAATGTTACTGAAACTGTATGATATCCAAGCTATTTGCTCTTACCAGAAGTGACATGAACTTCATCTTGAATGTTGACTGGCTTATTTCTGTCAAACACTGCAGCATTTCTTCCAGCGGGCATAGCAGTTGCTCCAGGAACTACGCCTGGCAGCAGCACTTCCACTCTTTGCTCTACTCTATGCCTGGCTCGACAGCGTACCACAGCTGCAGAAAAACAAGAAGCCATGCTCTGCAAAATGTTGCCAGCAGCTTAATTTTAACAAAAAAGCTAAACATAGAATTGAAATGGTCTTAAAGCAAGATGGAATTCCAAATAAGGAGTAATGCAACTAAAAGATTTTTGTCATCTCACAGTTTCCATCTTTAGGTGGTTCTTCAGGTGAGGTAGTAGAAAATACCATTAAGCAAGCAAAAGTCTTGTTCTGCTGTTGGTTCCCAATACCACTAGCAAATGTCTCCTCTTTTTTTTATAATCACAAAATGTATATCTTTGTTTTAGCATATATGCAAATAGGAATTATAGTATCATTTGATACACATCACTGAAAAATCCAGACTGATGGAATAACAAAGAAATGAAAGAATTTAAAAGTTAAATGAAATGACACTTAAAATTGGAGAAAAATATTAAGTTACATTTTGATTCATTAATGTAAAAATACTTTTTTCTTCAAAATTCAGATCTTATAGACCATGCTAGAATAAACAGCATTCTGACCTGAGTTTCTCTTTGAAGCATAGCAGAGCTATTTTTCTATATGACTAGTGAAATTCTTTTAAAATATGTCTTTTTTCATTAAAAAGAGGTTCGCTTTTTTGCCTATGCACCAGATGGTATACAGTCTACTCCAATAGTTACTATCTGCGGTTCTTTCAGTAGTTGTTTGCAAGAAAAAAAAAAGATTATATTCAGGAACTGAAAGGGAAATACGTTTTCCCAAACAAAAGACATGGAATTTTCCAGAAGTATTGAAATCAACTTGAAAAAGAAGAGCTGATTACATTTTTCTCAGTTTCAAGGTGTAAGTATTATTTTCATCAAAATTATGCCTCTGAAACCACAAAATCATTTGTTCTATTATCAGAAAGTTAGGGTTTTTTTCTGTCCACACGGCATCTCTTGTCAAGGCAGAGCAGAGCACCATTTGTTAAAGTACCTGTACCGTATTTTAATGTTACTGAAACTGTGTGATATCCAAGCTATTTGCTCTTACCAGAAGTGACTTATAAACCTTTACAAGAAAAGAGCTACAAGATTAATTACAAATAGGTCTTTTTTTTTCTTTTTCCTGGATGCTTAGCCATACACTTAACATTAAAATGTATATTACCTGTATCCCAGTTTACCAAGGATTTCAGGTTACTCTGTATATATACTGTGACTTCATTAGCTTCTATTCCACAACTCATCTTACAACTAGCAGTCATCCTATATTTTTCCAAATTTCTAAGTAATATTTATGGATGAAAAATCAAAACTCTGTGGGATTTAAGTGGACAATTCCTCAAGCAACTTGATCTAATTAGATCTGCTTTGAGTAGAGTGTTGGATTAGATGACCTCCAGCAGTCCCTTCCAACTCAAATTATTTTATGACTCCACAAGAAAAAAAAAATATTCTGGATGATTCTCCACTTGTAATTACTTCTATAAGCTGACCAGGTTTTAATCTATTTAATATGTACTACATGGGTTCTGACCACTGATCATTTTAATTGGTCTCATGAGATACTAAACAAGTGACTTCTAGACATTTAAGTATATTAAGATGCAAATAAGAATGACACTAAAGATGAACTGCCTAATATACTAGCAAAACAGCTTTGTTTTTTGAAATAACAGCTTGTAGCTTCCAGGCAATTTCAATAAATGAAAATAAATACATTAAAAGAAATGATGATACAAGTTTTATCATTATTAAAAAAGCAATAATTTAAAAGCAAAGTAGATTTCTTGTAAATTACTTGCTCTGTGCTCCATTTTACAACTGTGATTTTTAAAAAGTCCATTTATAACATAGAACTAATGAGAATCAAGGCAGGAATGGAATTTGTTTCAAAAATGCTCCCACATATATATTAGTTTTCTATCTCATTTTTCAATGAAAGACCTCCTACTCCCTTAGGAAAAAGGAGGAAAGAAGGAAAGAAAGAATTACATAAAACATGGACATAATGGTGATGGCTCCTAAGAGAGATGCATTCAAAATGTATGCAATGTTCCTTGTATGTCTTACAAACATTTACTGAAAGTAAACTAGGGGATTATGGAATTAGTCATAAATATCCCACAGCTTAATTTTGTTACTTTCAAGAAGCATTTTGGAATTTAAAATTATTTCATATGGAAAGTAAATTAGTTAAGTTTCCGTCCATATACAGCAGTAATGTCATGTAAGCAATTTATGCACACTATCAGTTCAAATTCTTACCCACTTTCCCTAATGAAAACAAAAGCCTAATGAAAGAGAGATTTATCACAAAGAGTGCTGATATTGTGTTACGCTACATGTTCAAAATACGAACAGAAAACTTCCCATCAATATACAGAATTTTAATGCTAATGAGACTCAATAAAACTGTCATTTTGAGCAATAGTAGATTGCATCATAATATTCTGCTTCATTCTCTTAATGTATCAAAGTGGAAATTAAGTAGATGAAAGGTCTAATTAATATCACATCATTGACATTTGTCTGTGTGTAAAAGGTCTTTAAACAAATTAAATTAATGAGAGTAAAAATATATTTTCCTAGAGGTCAGTTTTCCAGAAGTCAGTCCTGTAGTTTAAACTACTTAGTGTAGAAGCACATTATACTCACTCATCAAAAGACAGGTATAAAATTGTCCATCACTGCAATGTGTAGTTTCAAGCTTTTAGTTTTACAAAGTTGTTCATAATTTCTATGAAGCATAATGCTGGGATAATATCTTTAAAGACTCTTTATCGAGTCTATGAACATGCACAATACCCAAAATGAGCAACAGCAAAAATCCTTTCAGTGTCTGTCATCACGTAGTGGAACTTCTTCGTAACAAATGGAAAGCTAACTGCTATTCAATGCTCCTCTACAGTCTGCTTTAAGGAGCAAAATTAGTGGCTGATTGAAACAGCGGGTATCTATTCCTATATAAGTACCATGTAAACACTGTTCTGGGAACTTAGACAGAAATCCAGCCTTGCGTCAGTCTTTTGTTACTTTCAATTTCTGCTTTTCTTTATGTAACTTAGCATTAACTGAGACACAGAAGTGCACATGATTTGAGGTTTCTAACAACTCCTGACTCTTTTTATCCACAACAAGAACAAAATAACGGATCTAGATTTGTTTTGTAGGATAGAAAAGAGGATTTTAATCCCAAAAGGCCCATAAAATACAAGCAGCAACTTTCAAATACAAAAGACGTTTTGCATCAATTTGGTGAATGCACCTTATATACTAGGGAATCTCTGAATTAGGGATTCAGGTTTGTAGACTATAGAAAGTTGCAGGCAAAAAGTGACCTGGGAAAACAGTGTAAATCATGAAACCAGCTTAGTGCTTCAACCCATGTTTTCTCCTCTGAGCTTGTAATGAAAAGATATCATCTATCTCATCAGTTTTTCCTACCCTATCTTTCTTCAAAATCTAGTAAGTGATTTTATCTTTTTAAAGACTGAAGCAAAGTCTTGCTGCAAATTCTTGTGAATTAATAGGTTACAATGGAAATAACTACTTAATTTTCTTAAATTTACCATTCTTTTATTTTTTTTTTCCTATAATTACCTACCTGAAACCAATTTCTGTTGAGGTGCTTCGGGTATTCCATGAATTGGGTAGATCCAACGTATTCCCCGAATTCCCCCATTTTCTGCCACAGTAATACTGTTTGGAGAATAAGTAGATTTTCATTATGCTGAAATTTTTTTTCAAAAGCAATTTCAACTTGAAAGTTTTCAGTCGGGTGAGCCTCCATTTTATTGTATTCTTTAATGCCAAACACATCTAAGCAAAATATTAATTAAAATCCGAAGTCAGATGACCGGGATTTTACATACACTTCATTTAGAATCTTCTATGTTATTCTGCTAGAAAGTGAGAATATTTGGTCTCTTTTATGTCGTGTTCATGCTGAAAACAAGTTCATTTATATGCAGGTGAAGTTAGACCAAAAGTTGAATCTGAATAAAGTCAAATATATATTTATTATAGTTTACATAAACATCAACAAGAGAAACTGTGAATAATTATTAGCCTAAATATACTGATAAACTAAAGGCATTTTAGCGCTTTACATTTGCTCTATAACCATAACTGCATTGGCAGTTAAAACTTTCATTTTCCTTACTCAAAATGGCAGATACTGAAACAGATAGTATTTACTACTTTAATCCTGCATTCTTTGCAGGGTACATAAAAAACTCATATATTTGTCCTCAAAATCAGACATGTGATTCCACTGGGCAGCTACATATATCTGAAAGGGAAAACTGCAATAGGTTTGAGCATCCTCAAATGCTGGTTTATTTTCCTGAGGAAAAAATTACCTCTTTAAGTCTTTATGTAATTTAGCAGAATGCTCATAGGGCCAGTTTTCACCATTCTCCCTCATTACATGAATTACCACCTGAGCTTCATACAATTTCATTGTATTCGGTATGAATAACACTGGGATGTCCAGTCTTCCTCTCGGACCTAATGCAATTCCTGTAAGATAGAACAGATTGTCAAGGGATTTTTTTCAGAGATTTTATAATTTGTTTTAAATGATATTATTCGCATATTTCCCTTCTTATTTTTGATACAGTATTTAACTTATTTTAATTTTACATAATCAAATCTTATTTTAGTTTAGTGTAGCCTGTTTTCCCTCGATGTTCTGAAGGCAGAAGTTTACATGACGTGTTGTTTGGTATGAAAGAAAAGCAAAGCAAAGCAAAACAAAACAAACAAAAACCTTTATTGAGAAGCCCTTTATATTAAACCTAAGGAGATTTTGAAGGCTCAAAAGCAAGTGAAGATTAAATGAACTTCCTACCCTTCAGAGATCATATGTATTACATGTAAATTAATCCCATGATTTTCTGGGCACTTACAATATTGAACACTGGTTGCAACAAAAGTAAGCAATGCTGCAAATAAAAAGGTCAATCCAAAAACAGTACTTCATGTTAGAGATACTTCAAATATTTTTGAAAAAACCTGTCTTACTATTACGCCAGCCATGTCTGTCCTGTATCATTTCTCACCTGATGGACTTCACTCAAAAATCTCTTCCTTTCTCTCCCCATCTCTCTCTACATATCTTCTGTATAGCCTATATAATTATTAAGAACTTACAGTCTTTTACATGTAGTGATAATTAGCAATGTATTAGAACTAATCATGAGAATGAAGTGCGCTGTTGATGACCAAAGAAGTTTTGTTTTAATGTTTAAAACTGACCTCATTTATCAGTCCCCTAAACATCTCCATCACCGTGACGTCTAATTCCCTCACAGTATATTTATATTTATAAATGCAAACACACTGTGTGTGTGTATGTGTGTGTTCACAGAGATGCGGTATCAGAAGGTCTAGCTGTGGTTTGTAGTGACTCCTTTTTTGGTAATTTTCTTAATTCAAGCTGCCCCTCAAGCCGCCAAAGGGTTGTGCAAGACAGAGGAAGCACCAGCTCCAAGCTCCCTTTCTCAAGAGTGTGAGAGCAGCTTCAGCTTGCTACAAACCACCTCATAGTCTTTAAAAAACACTATTCTTCCTCTCCCTAATCGTGTAGAAAAACACCTGCTCGGCTCTTTCAGAAATACTACACCTACTAACTCAGCAGACAATAACATGTACGTGGGCAATTTTAGCACAGCTCAGCATGACTGCTCAGGTTGCTCCTAGCTGCCTGTGGATCTCATGCTAGGGATACCAGGACTGTAATCTCTCTCCATGACCTCCACAATGATGCCTACATACTGCAAATGACAAACTGCTGCTACGGCAGCATCTTACTAATTACAAAATATCCAAATAGCTGTTCAAGCTCATTTATAGTCTCTAGTGTTTTGCCACAGTAAAATAACTCTGGATGATCTGCAACCTGAAAAAAAAATACTCTTTCAAAAACTATACATTAAAATAGGGCTTTATTATACTATTTGCAAGTATTTTAATGTATGAAAAACAGAACAAGCTGCTAAGTAATACTTTGTAACAGTACATATGCGCTGCATATACGGTCTGAATTTTACCTGTTACAAAACACAGTGTCTTTCTGAAAAAGAGATTTTACCAAAGAACCCATATGATAGCATTCTGAGTCACTCTGAAAAAAAAAATGCTCATTAAACCTCATGGAAAGACAGCAGAAAGAATGTGTTCACATTTCTTTTAGTAAAAATTCTTCTTATTAGATGCTGTTCATAATGACAGTAATTTTTATATTAGTGGGCTTGCTTACAGTTGTCAACTAACCAACTGATCACTAACTGCTAATGAAGATTTGTTTCCTTATGATTTTGCCTAGTTAATAAGACAGATGAAATAGTGCAAATTGTAATTAGGCCTATTTCATGCCTCTCTTTTTTATCATTCCCCTTTAGAGAAGGAAGAATTTAGAGAATGAGGACCAGCAACTGCCTATTAAACAACTGATCCTTTTGTTTGCCTAAGTATTTATACTGCAGCAAATATCCACAAACTTTTTATGAGAAATCCATAGCAATGCACTTTTCAGAGTAAAGCAGCACCATGCTCAGTAATACATTTTGGGCCAGATTGTGGAAATATGCTATTTCTATTCGACCCTACAG